CGCTCAGATTCGGTATCTCAAAGGTTCCCTTCACTTCGTCATCGGATCCGTTGAGTCTTCCCTTCCACTCGCATTTGATGACCCATTCGTAGAAAAAGATGAGTTTTCCCTTCCGATTGTTGGCCACGGCTTCGCCTTCAATGGACTCAACCGCAGAGACGCGACACAAACCGACGCCCGACTCGTCGACCTCCAGAGCAGACAACAGTTGCGTTAACTTCTCTTTAGACCAATTCGAGGCATTCTTCTCAGTCCTGAACAGACAAACACATCCATCAATAGTATTCAATACAAAGTGGGATCAGCTGTGAGCACACATACCAGTGCCAGTTGTTAACATTGGTCGCGTCGGGTCTCTCCTCCACTATCCATCGGGGATCTCCTTCACCCCATTTGGCCATCACTTACCACTTCCTATACCTCTTCGGCGGCACTAAAACAAGTGTCGAAATGATTTCTTGTGGACCGAAACGAGTCTATCGTCTCAATCGCAGCCAATACTCGGGTTTTCGGACACCAATTGAGTGGAAAATGATTGTTTGGTTTGCAATTAAAACACAACTTTTGATTCAAATATGGATTTAAACGTAAACTAAGGCTAAATTCAAACGAAATGATCGCTAAATGAATCTCACGTTTGGAGACAAACACTGTATTCAACGGGAAATCTGGAAATTTCTATCTGTAATCCCTTCACATATAACGTGACACACAATTCAAGGGCCGGATTCGCGCAAATGTGAGGTCAGTGTTGAGCGCAACACATATGGGGTTCTGTTTTAATGCGTTAAATCATTACGTGATTTATTATTTGAAGCCAAACGTGCAGTGAATGCGGGGATCGAGAAAATTCGACACAAATTTAAACAACTAATTCACAAACAACGTGACGAATTGGATGTGTGGGGGAGTGGGGGTGACATCTGCCACACATTTATGGCACCAAAAGTTCTTAGCCTTGAATTGAATGAACATTTGATCCAAAGAGCGGTGCAATCAGTGATTGCCTGCAAAACCGATGACAACAACTTCAATGCCATCAATGCGTTGATTAGCCATTCATTAGA